TTTGTTTATTTATAAGCTTTTTTTTTTGTGTGTGTGTGTTTTACTAAGTTAGACATTTTTAAAGAGATAAAAATGCAAGTTTCATGATACATCGTCTTTGTAATATGTATGTAGAAACCTTTTCTAGTGCTAACACTAGTTTGTTTAATAACTCCCTCGTGTGAAAACTATGATAGTAATATTTTATACTACAGTAAACCAGTCGACGTCTACGATAGCATTAAATTCCAAGAGACTGTTTCGTTAAAAAAAACACGATAAGTTGTGCTATACATAAATGTTTTTTCGACATTGTTTAGAAGCTACTCCTCTACCCAGAATGTTACTGGAGTTTTTACACTGGTAACATCCGTGCAATAACAGGTTATTATGAAATAACAATCAACAGGAAAAACAAATGTGGTATATAAAGTTAAGACGTTACCATACTCAACAGTTTCTCTGTTCGTATTGAAAATTTTGCACCAGTTCTTACCTTAGATATTAAATGCCCGATTAACTTAAATATTTGCTCCTGAGAGTGTTCAATGCGATTTAATGTCAAAGATACCAGAAAGAGTTACAGTGAAGACCTATGTGTAAAAGACAATCTTTTTTAGACTAAATTGTAAACTATTTCATATGACGTTCAATTACTAAGCCTAAAATGTTTCAGTACGTAAATGTAACTGGGGAAAATCAATGGTATGAACTAACATTTAGACGTCATTGAAGAAAATAGAAAGATTACTGTGATATATTTTATACATTGTTTTCTATTTTTGGTTTTATTGTTTCTAAATTTGTCAAAACTTTGAATTAATATATATATAATAATAATAAAACTTATGGCATGTATAGGTAAAAGTGACTTAACTTTAGAGGAAACCTGTTAAATATCAGGAGATTTGGTCAAGATACTAATTATTAAGTAATGTTATATCTCTAAGTAAGTGATGAAACAAAGATACTGGAGACTAAGTGAAATACGAAATGAACAATTGTTATTGTATCACACGTAAAACACAAATGCTTTTAATGTATCTTCAACTGTTCAAGCTAAATCCATGTTCTGTCTGACTAAATCCAATATTCTTTACGCTACAAGAAACATTGTATTTATTCAGAATAAGTAGCACTACCCACATAACTGGTCATTCTCTTTCAAAAATAGGCCATAACCTTAAGGTATCACCTGAACTACCATTGAAAGATACTGCTGTCAACATTCTTGCACAACTTGCAGTATTGCAGGAACATCTTCCAAGGGCAGAACAGGTATTATAAACACGAGAATAACAAAGGAACAAGTGTTAACAGCTTTCTCTGCATATATATATATATATAATAAATTTAGATTAAATGCTATAATCTTACAAAAAAATAGAAATATGTGGTATATTCATATACTGCACTTTAACAACAACAGAAAACACAAAATCAAAATATCAATGCACGATTCAATAGAAGATTTCTTAACAATGAAATACAGATTTTTATACAAAAAATGAACTCTCAATTTAACAGAACAACAAATTAAAATACTAAATTACGATGCCAAAAATATTCACTTTAAACATAGTTATCACAGATCCACATGTAAAAATCACCCTTTAACAAAAATATTAATTTTTAATAAACAGTTTAGCCTAATACAAGACACAAAATAAAAATTTCTTTGTATAGCTCAACATCAGCAACATTAAATTGAATTCGACAATGAAAAAACACTCTGTAACACTGACAGTCAATAATTATACAAAAAGGCATACCTTTAACAATGATCAATTAAAAATTCAATATAAAAAGCCCGGCATGGCCAGGTGGTTACGGCACTCGACTCGCAATCTGAGGGTCGCGGGTTCAAATC